GGCAGGACCGCAGCGGGCGGGCGAGCGGACATGGGGCAGGCGGACAGACACGCCGCCGGGCCTATGGCTGGGCCTGCCGGGCCTGCCGGCTCTGCCGGGCCGCAGGTGAGTTCCAAGGTCAGGGGCAGGCAGCCTGGCTGGCGGCGTGGCCCGGCGTAGCGTGGGGAGAGGGAAGGGGCGTAACAGACCCAATCCTTACGGGGGCCGCGCCGGCCCGGCCCGGGCTCATGGCATCCAGGGCCCATGGGATGGCGAGGCCCAAAAGAAAATGCTGTAATCGTCCGTCAAAAGGGGGGGGGGGCTGGGAGCGCCCTGTCATGCGTGGCTCCTCCTGGCAGGACCGCGGCAAAGCCCTGTGGCGCAAACCGTATAGCACACAATATGGATAATGTACGATTCTAAAAATAAATAATAACAATCAAAGGATAATTCCACGAGGAACGCAGACCTTAGTCACCGAGGATTGGAAAAGGTTCATGATATCAGCTGGCCAAAGTACTGTGCTTCCCAGACCCCATCCTCCTGGGGCGAAACATGCACTCGCAGCGCAGACCACGTCCGCGATGTCCGCACTTCCACAAGCACTGAAAGCTGCTTTAGTTTTCCGCGCTCGTCTCATCTTCAAGCCTGAGCCACGCACGCAAATCTGCCAAGGCCGGGCGGGCGCGACGGGGCACGGGGTTATCACACAGGTCTATTGCAGGTCTGCACCGCAGCACTCACAGCACTCGAAGTGGAGACCGAAGTCGGTCAAGTGCCAGTCATGAATTTATAGATGAAGTGGCGCACCTATGCGGCATTTAGGGACGAATTCGACACTGGAAAAAGAATGGTACGACTGTGTTGTCAGGAAATTGCTAACATTTTAGCGATTTGAGTACCGCGGTTAGGCACAAACAATTATTTATTTTGCGTGTAGGCCATTTTCGTGCATTTACAGTCGCTGTATTGTTTCGGCGCCGACCAGGACATTCAAATTATTAGCATCGCGAAGGAGGTGGTATGCCCTACCATTGTTTCACAGTGAACTGCAACAACTTTGTATCACATATTGAGTTCAAATAATTAGTCATTGTGAAGTTCTGGCAAAAGATCTGCGAGGACCATCGGTGTCTGCGCGTTGGACACGCCAGGCCAGGGGTTTCCACGCCGGCCAGGTTTTGGCGGCACCGAGTAACTGGCCCAAAGGGGCCGGCGCGAGAGGCGGGGTACGCGAGAGAAGTCGCGCATCAAATTGGAATTTGTTTATTTTATTCATCGCTACGAAAACGGAGCGCACAAAAAGCTGCTGCCGGTCTATCACCAAGGCATGACTTGCGCCCGCAGTCTGGTTTGGTTCGCATCAGAGCACCAGAAAATCCGCTTCGCTCCGCCCCCCCCTCCTCCCCTCCTCCTCCCATTTCCCTCCGGCTAATGTGCGTGAGCTGTTCCGGGCCGGGGCGGGCGGAGGCCTGACACGACCATATTTTCGGACATGGAGGCCCAGAGCCTTCTCAATTTTCTGCTTTTGGCCGTGGTTTCCGTTTTCAGCGTCGGGTGGCACGGCGCGGGAGGGGGAGGGGCTGCGTGCGGTAAGGCACACCAAACCACTCGCGCACCGGGGAAAGGGAGGGGGCGGGGGTGGGGGTAGAATGGCACGGTCAACGTTAATCGGGCGGGGCCCTTTTTATTTGATCGTCTGGACGAGTCTTATTTCAGCAGTGATTGAGGGACGAACGGCGCCCTTTAATGCAGCGCTTTACGTCCACATG